GTCTCTGTGTGTGTGTGTGTGTGTGTGTGTGTGTGTGTGTGATGTGGTTTTATTGACTCAGGCGGGTGTGTTTCTCTTCAGAGAGGCTCATCTCATCCCGGATCACACCATCCGCACGCTCGGACACATCGCTGTGGCCATGAGAACCAGTCTTAAGTGTCAATTTTTCCAAATTTTGATTAATACATCATCTGAAAGCTGAATAAATGTGCCTTCCATTGATGTATGGTTTGTTAGGATCGGACAATATTTGGCTGAGATACAACTATTTGAAAATCTGGAATCTGAGGGTGCAAAAAATCAAAATATTGAGGAAAATCATCTTTAAAGTTGTTCAAATGAAGTTCTTAGCAATGCATATTACTAATCAAACCTGAAGTTTTGATATATTTACGGTAGGAAATGTACAAAATATCTTCATGGAACATGATCGTTACTTAATATCCTAATGATTTTTGGCATAAAAGAGAAATGTATAATTGTGAGCCATACAATGTATTGTTGGCTATTGCTACAAATATCCCCCAGCGACTTAACACTGCTTTTGTGCTCCAGGGTCACAATTAATTAAACTGATCAAAGATACACAGCAGTGACGCAAACCGACCAGTGAGAATCTGAACTGTTTCCAATCTGGCTACTAAATTTTTAAGTTACTAGACATTCAGAACTATTACTAGCCACAAAACAGAAATATCAGAAGTGAACAGATTATCAAAATCACAGCTTAGATTTAAATGTATTTGTTTTTAAATCTGATTCTGGATCATTGAATGAGTGGCAAATGGAATAGAAATGATGTGAAGTGAATCGGGTTATAAATGAAAGATCTAGTCATTGGTTTGAGTTTGAAAATGACCAGACTGTATGCGGGGCAATGACGAGACGTCTCATTTTGGTGTCTGCATCCAATTAAACTTACAAAAATGATTTTAAATATCATAGAAAGCAGATTAAGTGCTTACTAAGTAAAGTGTCTACTTTAATGTTTCAAATAAACTTTGTGAAAATAAAATGTCAAAATATGGATGTAATAATGTTACATTGTCATTCAGCATAACCTATTCTGATCTGTACTTATCATAATATAGTATATGTATAGTAAAAGTGATCATGCATTATTATATTTTAAGTGATTAAAAACTACTTGCTGACAAATAGGTAAAACCTAGTGGTTTGAAGCATAGTGGTAAAGATTTAAAATGACCGTTAATTCGTTTTTTGATGGCTGCACTGAGAGTCTTATAGTCTTTTAATGTGTCTCTGTGTGTGTGTGTGTGTGTGTGTGTGTGTGTGTGTGATGTGGTTTTATTGACTCAGGCGGGTGTGTTTCTCTTCAGAGAGGCTCATCTCATCCCGGATCACACCATCCGCACGCTCGGACACATCGCTGTGGCCATGAGAACCAGTCTTAAGTGTCAATTTTTCCAAATTTTGATTAATACATCATCTGAAAGCTGAATAAATGTCTATACGCCACTTTTTTGCTCACGAAAAATAAAATTAAACGGGACGAATTCTAATGTACAGGGGAAAGAAATAAAGCTGCATTAAACTTTTATTGTTTTGATGCATGAAAATCTTTTGTATTTGACCCATATACAAGGTAGGATTGGTTGCATGTATATTTGTCCCATGTATATTTATTAAAATGAAAAGAATTGCCTTTATCTTTATCTTGGCTGTAAAACACATTTTATTAAAGTATCCTGCTTTAAATGATATTAGGAAACATCAAAACTCAAAGTACATAAATGGACATTTTTGTTTAGAGAAACTATTAGAATTTTTATCAAATTGAAAAATTGTGTATAATTGTTATTTTTTATTTCTCTGTTTTTGTTTTGTCTTTGTAAAAAAAAAAAAATATATATTTTATACAATTGATTGAATTATTATTGTATTAAGGCTCATTTAAATCTTATTTCTCTTTCATTTACCATGAATATGGCAGTAAATTACTACTAAATTAACTACGGTAAATTACTGTAGCATTAATTTTGTATAATTTATTCACCATGGTTGTTTTTTTTTTCACCTGCATTTGGTGGGTTAATTTTAATCACTGATCTTGATCTGAAAAATGGAGCAGGTATAATTAGTTTTTTAACAGACAGTGTGTGATTTGTGTTTTTTTAACTACAGCAATACATCTATCAGGAGGTCTGGAACCTGTTCCAGCAGATCAGTGTGAAAGCCAGTAATGTGGTGTATTCAGCCACCAAAGACTACAGGGACCACGGATACAGGTGTGTGTGTGTGTGTGTGTGTGCATACTTTAAACTGAATGCATAAAACTGCATCAGGTAGTGTCTGAGAAATGCTTGATAGCATCTCAGGAAGTTTCAGGCATTTTAACATTTGAAACGAGAAACTTTATATGCTATTGTAGCTTTTTATTGTTTTCTTTAAGTCCAGTCATAATATTTGTCAAGGTTTTTTTTGCACCAAAACTGTCATAATTTAGTTTTTCATTACCATTTTCCAGCCTTGCTCTGAGCTTTAGAATAAGAATAATTAAACAGGCTATTTAATTAATTGCAAAAAAATAAACGGGTGTATTTTTAGATTTCTGTATGTGTGCATTTATGCAGCCGATTCCCATTTCATTCTTTTTATGTGCTTTTTATCTTAAAGGTCCCATATTGTACACCTTTTTTTTTATTTTAGGTTTTGATGTCCTTAAGAATATATATTTGCGGTATAAGTACCAAAAACCATCTCAATATATTTTTACAGCTCCTCTCTCAGGAGCTCTGCTGAGAACAGGTCGATTTTGGCCTGTCTAATTCATATTCATGAGCCTCTCTTCTGATTGGCCTGTTGTTTTCTGAGTGACGCACGGCCAGGCCAACCACAGGTAACTAGGGTCAGCGACGTCACAGCGCTAGCTGGAGGCAGCAAAACAAAGGAGAAACTGGAGGCGGCCCATTCAAACCAGCGCAGGTTCGGCTACATAAGGAGCTTAAAATATCATCTTGTTGTGATGTTGGGTGCCAGAATCAACGTAACACAGCCTCAAATTAGAAATTTCATCACATATCTGCTGCCACTGCCAGACAAAAAACCGACGACAGCCAGCAATGTTATGGATGCGATGTTATCTGGGGGTTTGGCAAAAGGAGAGGGGGACGGTGGGCGGTGCTCGAGGTGGCGACTGAAGGTGGTGACTGTGTAGTTCTGACGTCAACTTTTTACGGAGGTCACAACGGTTCGTGAAAAATCACAGCTACTTTATGCAGGCTGTGTGCATTTTACTGTGGACTTTTGAAATTTATATGGTAGTTACATAGCCCCTAGACCTCAGTTATCATGAAAAAAGCCAGGAAATTTCAGTTTTGACAATATGGGACCTTTAATACAACATTTATGCTATTTAATAAAATATTATAAAAATATTCTTATAATAAATCATAAAATTACAATATTATAAAATTGTTCTAAATTAATAATAGTGAATGTATGTACATATTAATGAACTTTTCTTGAATTGATGTAAATTAACTTTGTGTCTCAGCATAATTTTACTACTAATGATTTTGGCTTTCACTAATATAGCTCAGAATCGATTCCAGAGAGAATCGCGATGCATTCGCGAAAATCGCAGAATCGATCCACAAATCGATTTATCGTCCTAGCCCTACCGTTCCAGAGAGAATCGCGATGCATTCGCAAAATCGAATCGATTTATCGTCGCAGCCCTAGGGAACGTTCTGAAAGTTACAATATCTCCATGATATTTTACATCTGTGCTGTTAATTTATTAAATCTGCTTCCAGTGTGTCTCTGGTGGTGTTTTAATATAAAGCGTGTGTGTTTGTGCAGGCACTGCTCTCTAGCTGTGATAAACGCCCTGGCTAATATCGTGGCTAACCTGCAGGGGGAGCAGCTGGTGGACGAGCTGCTGGTCAATCTGCTGGAGCTGTTCGTTCAGCTCGGCCTGGAGGGCAAGAGAGCCAGCGAACGCGCCAGTGATAAAGGACCGGCCCTCAAAGTCAGTCTGTGTTTGACCTGCAGTCTGGCTCTACACTTACAGTTATTAAAAAATGTGACCCTGGACCAAAAAAAATAGTCTTGAGTGTAAATTTTTCGAAATTGAGATTTATACATCACATGAATAAATAAGCTTTCCATTGATGTATGGTTTATTAGGATCGGACAATTATATTTGGCCGAGATGCAACTATTAAGTAACTTTGACAAATGTGATTACTGAGTTCTTTATCACATTGAAACAAAAATAAAAAGCAATATTTTCTTCTTGGCCTGTTTTACATCGGATACAGTATGCAAAAGTTAATGGAAAGGAAAAATGTTTTCCTGTTCAGTCCCTTTAAATAATTTATGAGCTCTCTTATGGCTTGCATGCTTTTGAATATCAAAGAGTAAATTTTTCGAAAGCATGAAAGTAACTAATCAAAGATTTTGTCTACAAAAAGTAAGACAAATCTTGCTCCTTTTTTTTGTAATGAGATACTGTTTTTTGTATAAATGCAAATGCAAGAGCTCTTTCTGCTCTTGTTGGATGCTTCATTATTCATGTGTCTGTCTAGAAATTGTAATTAGATCTTGAGCGCCTGTGGTTAGACTTTAACTTCTCTGACAAATATTTACTTAGCTTGCAAAATGTTCTACCATGTTGTTGGTATACTCGAGCGTTGTTTTTATTCACCCTTTAAACAGATTAATTCAGTAATCCAGTCCTCTGAGTTATTTTATTTAACAACACGTTCTGCTTCAAAAATACACAGATGTTTATCAGTTGATTAACTCGGTGTTTAAATTTCACTAGCATTTCTTTACAAAACTCACTTTACTTGATAAAACAAAATAACCATCATTCTCATCCGCTTATTTGGCTAACGCTTTAGTTTTTATTGTTATACAGTGATGCATCAGCCATTGCACAGCTGTATTGTGTATGTGCATCTGTTTAATTCTGTGAAGGGTCTACCACACGTCCCATGAACACAACGCAGCCCGTGCGATGCTCGTAGATGAGGAAGAGGAAGGGGCGGTCCACGATAAAACGCGTCTGTGTTGATAAAGGCATGAATCCGATACTTGTCATTGCTGCGGCCTCTGTACCTTCTTCATTCACTGTAATGGTACCCTGATGCTTAAACTGAGAGAGAAGAGAAGGTGGTTTGCAGGAAAGAAGTTTATGATGGTGCAATGAAAGGTCAAAGAGTATGTTTTTGAAGGAGATTAGGCGTAGGCGACCTAAAGTGCTCTCGACACAACAGAAGGTGTTGAACAAGTTACAAGTTGAATTTGTCAGTTCTTCTCTTACCCAGTTGATGATGACCTTCTCGGAAGTCATTGGGGAAAAGTCACCCTTTTCAGTAAACGGGTCCGTCAAGCCCATTTCCTTCAGGTGCTCAATCAAGTCATAGTTTTGCTCCAGCTTAAACCGAGGGAAAACCACCTCGCGAGTCCTACCAGAGAAAGATTTTAAGACCATGCAAAGCCAAAAAGACAGCTGGAGAATGATTTAGCCGAGTAGGAAGTATTTCTGGATCAATATTCTTATCAAGCTCTAACACTAACCTCTAACCCTAACTGTAAACCAAAGACCAAATATATTCCAAACCATAAAGTACCACTAAAAGTGGAAATTCAGGGAAATTATAGGGTAATACTGGTTAACCCTGAACTTAACTCTAGTTTCTAAGAGGTTGATAGCAGTGTTGTTCCATAAGCAACAAGGATATCGATCCAGGAACTTGTCTAACTTCATGTTAAATCCTCTTAAGCACTTCAAGTCATTGAGTCAGGGACATTAAAGTGCCTTGTACCAGTACAAACAAGTCAGTTTGTAAATTGGTCTCACACCTACGGCTAGTGCTTTACCTGTTGGTCATGTTGTTAAGCCACTTATTGATCAGAGTTGGGGAGATCTCCTGCTCCAGGGATCTCATTCCAGAGAGTTTCTGAGGAACAGCGATGATCATGCTGATGTTTCCAGTGTAGGGTAGCTGCAGTATGTCGCAGTTGAGCTCGTGATCGGCCGCTGCCAGGTAGCTTCCTTTGTTCTGCATCATGGGAACACGCACTTGCTTTTTCTCATTGACACGGAATTGCCGGTAGTGTGTCAGTTCCTTCGGGAACTTCTGCTCCCACGTACCTGCGTTTGTTGTACCAGTGAAAACATAAGGTTGTGTTATTTCAAAGTTGTATGTGATATTATTCCTTATGAATTCTAATCTGTTTAAAGAAAGGGTGTGCAGTCCTGTTTCTGGATTGCCACCTTCCAGCGGAGTTTAGCTCTAGCCCTAATTAAACACACCTGAACCAGCATATTAATTCAGGATCACTAGAAACTTTCAGGCATATGTGTTGGAGCTACACTCTGCAAGAAAGTGATTCTCCAGGAGCAGGATTGGACACCTCTGATTGAGACAACAGTTCCGGTTTACCAAATATCTACAGCTGTGGTAGTCAGTGCTGCTCCAGGAGGGCCATCTTCCTGCTTAGTTTAGTTCTTGCCCTCATTAAGCCCAAGACACACTGCACGATTTTCGACTGTCCCAGATGAAAGATTGGCACTGTGAAACAATCGTGGCGATTTTTGTGATCGTGGCTCCTAAATGGTCATCCTATGTCGTACAGTGAGAGAGGTCACATAAAATGTGACATGAAATCAACGCGGCATGGCGCTAAAACTTAAAACTGCTTACCTCAAGCTCTTATCCCTTCCTCTTTCGCCGCTTCCACTTTTTTCAGTACATATAAAAACTACAACTGCCAAAGTGTGATTCATCATGCTCTTTTTGTTTACCACTAGCGCATGCTGATGACATTTTATTCTTCTATAGTAATGTACGTCGTAGCGCACGAGTCAATAGATGTCGTCATCATACAGTCTGCATGCATGTCGTACCCAAGTTTATCAGATCCATGTCGCACAGTGTGATTTGCAATGATCTTATAGGATTGCTAAAATCATGCAGCATGTAGATGACTTAAAAAACACCTGAACCAACTAATCAAGGTCTTCGGGATAGCAAGAAACTTCCAGGCACATGTGTTAGAACTAAACTCTACAGGACACTGACTTTTCAGGAGCAAGATTGAACACCCCTGGTTGAGACTGAAGTTCCTATTCACTAAAAATCTACAGCTGGAGTAGTCAGCCCTGTTCCCGGAGGACTATCTTCCTGCAGAGTTTGGATCTCGCCCTCAATAATGAAACCTGAACTAGCTAATCAAGGTCTTGAAGATCACAAGAAACGTCCAGGCACATGTATTAGAGCTAAACTCTGCAGGAAATGGACCCTTCAGGAGCAGGATTGGACACCCCTAGTTGAGACAGAAGTTCCTATTCACCAAATATCTGCAGCTGGGGTAGTCAGTCCTGCTTCCGGAGGGCATCTTCCTGCAGAGTTTAGTTCTCACCCTCATTAAACACACCTGGGCGGGTTGCGTAAACGCCTTAGACTAGTCTTAAAAAGTTAGTCATCTAAGTCTGGTCATAACTTTTTAAAGTCCGTTACAAAAAGGTAGATTGGTCTAATGTGAATCCAAAAAATAAGACTGATTACACCTTGGCTAACTGCTAGTTGGTCAAACTAGTTTGTAAGACACAGTCTTAACATAATGCCTATGTTTATGCAACTGGCCCCTGAACTAGCTAATCAAGGTCTTCAGCATCAAAAGAAACGTCCAGGCAGGTGTGGTAGTGCTAAACTCTGCAGGACATTGGCCCTTCAGGAGTGGGAGTGGACACCCCTGCTTGAGACAGAAGTTCCTATTCACCAGCTAATCAATGTACTCAAGAGTACTAGAAAATTAAGTAACTGAAATCTGAAGTAAGGTAGCCCTCCAAGAGCAGGGTTGGCTTCACTGATCTACAGGTTTCCCTGTTGAAAAAGACCAGCTTAGTTGTAGTGATGGGAAATTTGTCTCTTTTCAAAGATTCGTCTCTTTTGGCTCGGCTCCCTTAGAAGAGCTTACTCTTACGGTTCCCAAATGACTCTTCATTTAGTATCCCTCTGAGCCTTATATTTTAGCCCAATTTAACAATTGTGAATGGTTTCTGTGTTGATAAGCTATTTTTTATTCAGTGTTTTCATAAAAGCCTTATTTTTATGCTTTTTGTTTCGTTACAAAACAAAAAATTACACAGATACTGTTATTTAACATTTTAATAAAACTTGAATAATAACACTTTAGTCTTTAGTGCAGGTTGGCATTCAGAAATATCAGATGCTTCAGCTTGGATGTGCTGATGCGATTTCTCCTCTCTGTGATTATTTGTCCTGGTTTTGAAAAGACTCTCTCTGAGGGGACCGATGTTGCAACAATGCAGTGTCTTCCTACCATTACCTTAACCAACGCACTTGCGTTTAAATCCGGCTCCCCGCCTCTCTCTGTCGCTCTGTGTACCTGGCCTGTACCACTACACTCGCTATCTTCAGAGCTTGTGTCCCCATTCCTTCTTTCACATAATGGTATGATCCTAGTCTATCCTCCCATGTGATTAGCCGCATGTTTTTTGTGTTTTTTTTTGCATAAAAATAAGGCTTTTGAGAACAATAAATAAAACAATTGCTTATCAACACACAAACTATTCACAATTGCTAAATTGGCCTGAAATAGAAGGCTCCGGTTGAAGATTCGGCTTTCCCGACGGGAGTCGGCTCTTCTCGTTCGCTACAAAGAATCGGCTTTTAGAGCCGGCTCGATCGTGAATGAGACATCACTACAGCTTAGGCTGTAATTGTGCTGGTTTATGTTGGTTTGGTGCAGGTCAAATTGGTGAACCAGCACAGCCATGAAGTTCGGATGACCTAGTCAAGATGCTGGTCTATTTAGTCAGGCTAACATCAAACTGAATGCTCAATATTAAACTCAGGTAGTACACAAAGCATTTCACATAGTACATGATTTTTTCCTCTAGGATTGAGGGCAGACTATTCAAATGAAGGATTAAACCATTAGTCATGAAGAGTTTCAGTCTTTGAATGGGCTAGAATCGATTCACCTTTGAAGTAAAGGTAGTTCAGGAGCATCACTGCCATATTGGGGTCTACGCTCTTCAGTGGTTCCTTTATCAGACCTTTGGTGATCTTCTGAATGCGCTGGTTGGCCTTCACAAGGAAGGCCGGGTCGGCAAAATCCACAGACTGCGGCTCGGCGAAGTAGTACGTCTTTGCATCGCTACGGAAAGCCTCCTGTATGCCGATGTTTCTTTTCACGTACAGGTCATTAACGGAGCGTAAGTTGTAGCCAAAGTTCCGTCGGAAGAGCCTGTGCGTGAGTTTGCGGAACAGTTTGTGCACGGTTGAGTTATCGTAATGAGTGCTGGCATTGACAAATTCAGCAAATCCGAGAGTATGGTAGAGTTGTTCGTGAGCGGTTGGGCCGACTCCCAGAGCCATCATGCCCATTGCAATGGAGATCCCGACAGGAGCGAGCAGAATGTTGTCCGTCTGGTTAAGTCGATTGCGCAGTTTCCGATAAAGCCGGCACCCGAAGCGGGTGTTGACCACATTGATGCGCTGCAGACGAGATCGCCCATGGAAGAGCCGCAACAGGCGTGCTCGGCGTATCTTGGGGTCACTGGGCTCCCCAAAGAGGTCCAGGTCAGGAGCAGGAGTGGAAATCTCATCTACATGGTCGCCTTCACTGTAGTCATCCTCACCCTCCGCCAAGATCTTATCGAAGTCGATGTAGTCTTCATCTTCCAGCCCTTCCAGAGGGAGGTCATTTGTGACTGTATTCTCCCGATGGAAGTCCAGAGGAATGGACTCCATGTCTGTGTTCTCTCCATTTGGAGAAAGTCCACGGGCATCCACCAACTTTTCCTTCTCACTTCCGTCAAAGTGTGAGCTGAGGTCTTTGACCCCAGCCAGAGCGGGGCTGCTCAGGAGAGAGGCTACAACTATAACTGGAACGAACCACATCCTATGGAAAAATGCACACATGAGAATACTGAACGATTGACAAATGTCTCTCTGAAATATAGCACACAATGCTCATATGCCATGTAAACATTTACATTTATTAATTTAGCAGATGCTTTGATCCAAAGTAGTGTTAATTCAATAATACGACATTAATATACTGTTATGGTGTTTTTTTTAATTTAATTTATTTTATTATTTTTAATATTGTTAGTATTCATTTTAATTTCAGTTTGTTTTATACATGTGTTTTTTTTATAGTTTGTTTTTTATTTTCTATTGTTTTCATGCTTCAACTATTATTTTTAGTTAGCTGGCAAGGAAACCTATTTAATATTATTTCCATTTTATACATTTTTTTCTCAATATTACTAATTTGTGTTAACAATAACAACACTGATCCAAAGTGACTTGAAGTAAATGAAGTAAATCCTAAGCTGTGACCACTATAGACAGTTATGGGGACACCCAGTATCCAGAACAATCAATTAATTGTTTCAGTGGTTTTCAATGATTGTTAAAGTTTTGCCTTTGGTTACTTCCTTAGCTTGATCTCAGAAATATCACACCAGTGTCGACAGTCTTATGAAATCTTTAATGCTAGTTTGTGCTGCTTACCTGCTCTGTCCCTCTGGAATCTCTGTGTTTTTGTGTGTGTGGACGGTCTGTTTGTGGATTCGTTCTCCGGCTGGACTTTGAAGTGGCTCTTCACTGATCAAACAGCAGCGAGTTCAAACAGTCCTCACAGACCTTCATCTGACTCAATTAACCCTCGATATGCACTCTATAAATTAATACTAGGTGCAAATTAATACAAATACACTGTAAATGGCCTCTTAGGACTTATATTACCGTAGTTACACTGCATAGCTTTTATATGGTTAATTATTCATATTTCCCATGAGCTGATTCGCTACATGGTGTTTTTTTAAATTTAATTTATTTTATTATTTTTAATATTGTTAGTATTCATTTTAATTTCAGTTTGTTTTATACATGTGTTTTTTTTATAGTTTGTTTTTTATTTTCTATTGTTTTCATGCTTCAACTATTAGTTTTAGTTAGCTGGCAAGGAAACCTATTTAATATTATTTCCATTTTATACATTTTTTTCTCAATATTACTAATTTGTGTTAACAATAACAACACTGATCCAAAGTGACTTGAAGTAAATGAAGTAAATCCTAAACTGTGACCACTATAGACAGTTATGGGGACACCCAGTATCCAGAACAATCAATTAATTGTTTCAGTGGTTTTCAATGATTGTTAAAGTTTTGCCTTTGGTTACTTCCTTAGCTTGATCTCAGAAATATCACACCAGTGTCGACAGTCTTATGAAACCTTATATGCTAGTTTGAGCTGCTTACCTGTTCTGTCCCTCTGGAATCTCTGTGTTTTTGTGTGTGTGGACGGTCTGTTTGTGGATTCGTTCTCCGGCTGGACTTTGAAGTGGCTCTTCACTGATCAAACAGCAGCGAGTTCAAACAGTCCTCACAGACCTTCATCTGACTCAATTAACCCTCGATATGCACTCTATAAATTAATACTAGGTGCAAATTAATACAAATACACTGTAAATGGCCTCTTAGGACTTATATTACCGTAGTTACACTGCATAGCTTTTATCCTAATATACCTGACAACTGTATAAAATCTATTGAGGAAACTGGCACACCATTTCATTGTATGCAGAGAGTTGCAGTTGCTCTGGAAAAAGTTCTTGATATGATCTGTGATCTGACTGAAGAGGGTGTTTCCTTGGAGGCTAAATTGGATGTTTAACTTTAGCAACTAAAGATTTTAGTTCTAAAAGTGCATGGAAAAGCACTCTAGGATTGAAGAAATGTCATGTAATCTTGCTTTGGAAAAACTGACATATATTTATACTCTGAGGGAAAAGTAGATGCATTTAGTGATATGGAATGTTGTGGATTTTTTATTTTTTTTTGGCAATGCAAGCAGATAATGTGGAATGTTAAACAATGACTATAAACAAATCCCTGATGTGATAAGAATATTGTGTTACAATAAATAGTATAGTAACAGTTATTTTATTTTTATATGCAATTATTTTATTCATTTTCTTTATTATTTACATTTTAGTTTTATCATTATTTTATTATTTATTCGTGTAATTCTTTTTTGTTTAATAAATGGAATTGGGGGGGGGAAAAAAAACGTGAAATGCACAAACAGTTGCAGCTTTTTTTTGTAGGATATAATTCTTTTAAACAACTACCAACATTTTCATAATGTTCCTAAATTTAAAGTTAAATTAATTGTGTCTTGTGTTCGATTGTATACAGTTGACCCGCCGGTTGCCTCCCATTAAAGAGGCCAAACCTCGCCTTCAGAAGCTCTTTAGAGATTTCTGGCTCTATTCTGTGGTCATGGGATTTGCTGTGGAAGGTTCTGGTAAGGAATAAAAAAAATCAACATCACTGACCGCATTTAAGCATGAATTCTGTCTCGTGTACGGTTTGCTGTAGTAGGATCTCATAACCTGAGGAGAGAGTATTTCTACAGTATTGTGTCTGTTTGTTTTAAGGTCTGTGGCCTGAGGAATGGTACGAAGGAGTGTGTGAAATCGCCACAAAATCTCCACTGCTCACGTTCCCCAGTGGAGAACCGCTGCGTTCAGAGCTCCAGTACAACTCAGCTCTGAAGAACGACACGGTTACTCCGGTATCCCAGCGATCTCTCACTGTCTCAGTGCTGTTTTTCAGCCTCCAGGTGTTACAATTTTTTAATTCTGACATTTACTCAACTCTGAATTTATTCCAAACCTATATGAGTGTCTTTCTTTGCTGAGCACAAACGAAGATATTTTGTAGAATGTGGGTAACCAAAATGTTGGCGGTAGCCATTGACTTCCATAGTATGTGTTTTTCCAGACTATATTAGTCAATGGCTACCGTCAACTGTTTGGTTACCAGCATTCTTCAAAATATCTTACGTGCAGAAAAAAGAAACTCTGGAACAACTTGAGGGTGAGAAAATGATGACGGAATTAAAAAAAAAAATTTGTGTGAACGATCCCATTAAAGGTGGGGTAAGTGATTTCTGGTAGCCAATGTTGACATTTGAAATCACCAAAACAAACAATCCCCTATTTTGATAGCTCCGCCCACACATACGTACGCAACCCAGGCAACGATCAGTTCTGTGAAACAAAGCAAAACCAATGTTACACCGTGTCTACACCGGACGCGAGTGGCGCGCGCGACAAAATACTATAGAACTCATTATAATCAGTGATGCTGTCTACACCATAGATATACAGTATATATACATATCTATGGTCTACACTGGATGCGGCACGACACGACAAATCCCCGACAGAAACTGCTGCTGCGTTCTATTCGTGACGTATTGACATAAATTTCAAATGATTTTCAACGCTGGCTTTGTCACGTCCAGTGTACTAGACAGACTTTAGCTGCTGCGGCGCAGACACGGTGTTACTCACCTATCGAGAAGAAACAAAGCGTCCTTGGCGTCCGATCGCAGGCCTTCCGGCTCCTTGAGTTCTCTCCAGCGCTGGAAAGCTGATTCGATATTTACACGGGTCGTACTTCTTGCCTTAAGCCTTCGTTTGTTCCGCAGACGTTTTCCTCTTTTGTTTTTTATCTGCCATCTCTATCTTTCTGTCGCTCGGCTCGGCTAATGTCCGTCCTGTGCACTGAACTCTCTCTCCTCCACATCATGAGTAGACACGCCCCTTACTGCTGATTGGCTACAAGTTTGTTTTGCTATTCGGCCCGAATCAGTTTTCTAAAGCGTTTTTGAAAAATCACTTACCCCACCTTTAAGTCAAAAATCTATAAAACTATTTTCTCTAACGCTAAGTGTTAAAGTTGAGTGTGTAGGTGCAGTGTTTGTGCTCCTCAAATCAGATGTGCTGCTACTTCAGGTTTTGCAAACAAACCTGGCATTATATATTATGAATATTGTTGGGTCTTTGACAGATTGCTTTTGTCGCTTTGGATAAATGCATAAATGTTAATGTAAGTTATTAGATGCATGATTTTCACTTGCTAGATGATAAGACAAATTTATTTTTTTTAGCTTATTGACTTATTTGATTTAGCTCCCAACAGTTTTAAAAGAAAAACTGATCAAAAATGCAAAGCAACCAAATGTATTTCTGAGAAATTAACTGGGTGCCATTGACTGAACATGCCACGTGTTTCGATCATGTGACAACAATGTTGCGAACCACTTTATCCTTGCATACGGTTTTACATGCAATTTTACAAAAATCGCATGCAGTATACAGTATATAATAGTTTCTGTACATGGCTTGTATTTTGTTTGTTAAAAAATCTCTTGGTTACACTTTATTTCGATAGTCGAATGTCTAAAGTGGACTAATTATAAGAAACCTTGCATGTCAGCTAACTCTCAATAGAGTATTTGTAGACTGTTATGCAATAGTTGGGGTTAGTAGAATAAGTTGACATGTAGTTGCAAAGTTATTTATAGTTACTACAATGTCTGTTGAGGAACCATCAAAATAAAGTGTGAGCAGACAGTCTACTAATACTCTAATGACTGCTAGCTGACATGTAGTAGCAATGTTGCTTATAGTTAGTGGAATATCAAAATGAAGTGTTACCGATCTCCTTTTGAAGGCGGAGTTAAGTGAACTGTGCAGCACCATCATTAATTTGTTGGATCCGTCACCTGAAGCCGCAGCCCTCATCAATAAACTCGACTTTGCCATGTGCACTTACCTGCTGTCTGTGTACCGGCTGGAGTATATGAGGTTAGAGACGCTTTCCTTCCTCCAGCTCGTCTCATTGTGGTGATTTCATGCATCATTTCCCTATCTGTGCGTCTCTCTCTGTGTATTAATCTTTCTCTTCCTCAGGATGCTGCACTTCAGGATGCTGCACTCGAATGATGCCGACCGCTTCCAGGTGATGTTCAGATACTTTGAGGACAAAGCCATCCAGAAAGACAAATCAGGTCAGAAACATGACAGAATTTAATGTTGTTGATTTTAGTAGATTCAAAAATGTTTAATTGCAACTAGATTTATGCTTCTTGCCGTAATCAAAGTAGCCTATGTTTTTCATTAAGCGTACATGAAGAATCTTATGTATTCATTTATATCTACACTACCAGTCAGAAGTTTTTGAACCGTAAAAAAACTGATTTCTCTTCTGTTCACCAAACCTGCATTTATTTGATCCGAAATACAGCAAAAGCAGTGATATTGTGAAATATTTTTACTATTTAAAAGAACTGCTTTCTATTTGAATATCTTTTAAAATTTAATTTATTCCTGTGATTTCAAAGCTGATTTATTTTAGCATCATTACTATCCCATTAGTAATAATAATAATAATAATAATAATAAATGTTTTTTGAGCAGTATATCAGCATATTATACTGATTTCTGAAGATCATGTGACACTGAAGACTGGAGTAATGATGCTGAAAATTCAGCTGCGCATCACAGGAAAAAAATACATTTTAAAATATATTAAAATAGAGAGCAGTTATTTTAAATAATAAAAATATTTCACAATATTACAGCTTTTGCTGTATTTCTGATCAAATAAAAGCAGGCTTGGTGAGCAAAAGAGACTTCTTTAAAAAACATTAAAAATCTTACTGTTCAAAAACTTTTGACTGCTAGTGTATATGGACCAATATGACAATAAACAATGATATTTACATTTTGATATGAGAAAT